ATCGAGGTCAGTTATCGTCGGGTTAGTTCATTCCCGTCTACGAAGCCTACTCAATGAAAGCTCAAGGGCATACCGTTCCACGGGCTCAGTAACTCACTCAAAAAGTACTGTTACTTGTTTACCGAGAAATTAGATCGTTCGGACTGAATGGGGTTTAGACAGACCCAATCCAATCGGTGACGTTCGATGGCCGAAGCACAAATCATCTTGTGGGGTTCCAAGTGGAGTGCGATTAGTTGGGTCAACTTGAAGTTACGGTGGATTCATTTGAAGTTGAAAAGGTATAGAAGTACTGTAAGATCAGGCTTCAATACGTCGTCCCTGATCGTTGTGATATAGTTTCAATGCACCATGCAAGGCCAATAGAAGGACAAGTATGAGCCCACACCGGCAGAACTCATTCAAGGAATGCATGTTGGCAGCAGTAACCCGTTGATGGTTGAGGAATTCGAAGTGATGTATCGGTGAATAGAGCCAGTACTCCAGTTGCAGATCAAAGACAGGATGACCCTCATTCACCAGTTCGTTTGTTCTTGTGGCATAAGACACATAAGTCGAATCATCAGATTTATGGCCCTTCGTATCAGAGATTAGCATCCGAAAGGGCCTGGTAACAGGCCGGTAAAAAGCGAGAGAACCGCAATTGTTACGCATACACGCCGCGACAACTGCATTGCGACCGCCCCCTAGATTTTTGGATTATCTATCTCCACTCCCGCAAGCATGATCCTAACCATTTCTGAGAATCTAGACGGCAACCGAATGAAAAGCCGAAATTTCACCAAGGTATCTTTAGTCTGTGTCGAAAGACCAGAATTTCCACCACGATAAATGTATTGCATCCCAATAAGTTTCACACACCCAACTCAGTTTTAAAACGGTAGACATTGGGTGTTTGTACTTCGGCGTGGCAACAGACACAATGTTGAGTCAATGGTTGACAGTGTTTCAACCGCACAGGATTTAACTCGGTACTAAATTCTCAAAGTATCGTCCTCCGGTTTTGTCGTCCAGATAGGAACTCCGCAGGTAGTGAAATAGAACAGCTGGATGTGTGTAGGAATTCATTTAATGTGCAAAAATCATGGTTAGATATAGGAAAGCGGGAGGACAAGGAAATGCATATATCAAACGATTGGTTGACTGGATTGCTATTAACTATTTTGATTGGTTGGCGGTTCCGGTCAATTACTTGATTTCGCCTATAGTTGTTCTGATTGACTGTCCCAGTACAAAGCAGTGTTCGGTGAGCATGCTGACTCCCTGTCAGACAGATTGGTGTTATAGACTGATGTTACAAGAATAATGAGTAGATGCATGAGCGCCGCTATGTGTGTCATCCAATTAGGGAGTGGAATAATATCGATACAGAAAGGATTCGAAATCTTATACAGAGTAATATAGTGACTTCAATGGTTTAAATCAACGGGTTGGTGCAATACTTTAGTCACGACGCGTTTAGTCGAACACAACCACTGGGTTAATGCACTTGAATCATTCCAAACTACCTGCACGATCGAAGGTCAGTGGTCGTCTACTATTCGCCTCGGAGATCCCGCGATTTAAATGAAAACAGTATTTGTGCGCTCAAAAAATGTCTTGGTGCTCTTAGTTCACCTTGGCCACCTGTTGCTAATCCAGTTACATATAAAGAAAGCCCAAGAACCATTGGTGACAGCTCACAACAGAGATTACTAGACTATGCTTACTCACATTTGAACCCTGCCCATCCTCGAGTTTTTCTCCATCCCCTGACCTAACTTCAAGCTGATCTATGATTGTGCTGTATTTGGTCTGTTAAGGAAGCCACTGTCTGCGAAAAAAGAACTGTCTGTTATTTGGGGGTGGGTTGCTTCGAGAAGTCGCACAGGAACACCCGGCGAGCGTCTAACATGAAAGTTTTGCTGGTGTCTCTCCCAGACGTGTTACATGGGCCACCTACAAGGACTATATCAAACGCAGCTTGTTAGATAGACTCGTGAGCAATTAAACCAAATCACGTAATTTGGATGATGAATTTGCTGCTCATGGAAATAGGGAAGTATAGATAGAAGGAAACCATAGGCAAGCAAACCACTTCGGATTATTATGTTTTTATCTCAAGCTTCTTTTGTTCCACTGCCTCTGCACGGAAGCTCTAGGGGGTAGTTCGCATCAATGTGGAACGTAAAGAGAACCTGAGGAATATTAAAAACGCGAAACACCTAAATCTCTACAGGTACCGTTACCATATACCCCGAAACCGAGGGTTGGCGACATTCGCATGGTTCGGCAGTATACAATCACAAAGGTCAATCGTACTGAAAAGAACAAGCGTAATGAAGCAGCTGCGGCTCCAGCAAATAAGCGCTAATCCGCTGAAGAATCCAACAGATTACAGCTGTCTACCGCTGAACGAGCGAATTCCAGCGGATTCCAGAAACGGAATGGCCACTGCACATGCTCCGAAGTACCCTCAGGAAAAAATGAGTTGAGCTACGAACACTACAATGGCATTTGTGCATCGGTTTCACCAACCGACCTTCTGTGGTGTTTGCGCGTAACATAGATTTTTCTAGATTGTGCACATTGGTATTCAGGTTGGAACAGGTAACTTGTCAACATCGAAGGATCTGAAAACAAAGTTCATTTCATCACCTAAAATGACTGAACACTTTTTGCAATAAGTTACGTTCGTCTGACAACATCGATTTTCGATGTAGCATTGACTATATTACTGTTAGGGGCACATCGGGGATATATCGAACCGAGGAATCGTATTCCCTCTCATTCTCTCTAATTTGAGTTGCACTTTCGTTAATTATATATATATATATATATTTAAGAGAGAGCAAAACAAAGCTAGGTTGAGCGATTCATGCCAAGGCAGATTTCCCTGCAGCTCAACTGGTACAATACGGTAGAAAATTAGTTTATCGTTGAACAGTACATCACGTTGCACGCGAATACGACAGAGGGAAATCAGCACACTTACTATTGCTAAGCTGATGACAGTGCGACTGACAGTTCTTTTTGTGCACACAGGCCAGGTTTCCATTTCCTGATTGCAACCAACTCCACAGACCTAAGAAGCCAGGGGTTAGTGTTAGCAAAAATGAACTTAAATCGGCTTGTCGGGTTCGGACCATGATTCGTCATCAACAAATGTCGAGCGATGGATGACGCAGGCTATTTGTATGGTCGGTATTCTCGGGCAAGGGCGGGGGCTAGTACAGGTGTAGTGTAAAGGTGTTAGTGGTGGGTGGTGCGTGATTATGGGTTTGAGGGGTCAAATTAGAGAGTGACCTTTGTTCATGTGATTCATTCAATCGGCGTTTAACCCAAGATGGGATGTGCTCCTGGATCCGTGCGTGCAACTGCCTATCTGTTCTGCCAATGTGAGATGCTCCGCATTCACATTCAAACTGGTGAATAATGTGTGGTTTAGCAGACAATAGTAGAAGTCGCTTTGTGGGCCAGGAGATGCGTGTGGTTGTGTACAGGACGATGGGGTTGAAGGCATTATAAGTGCGTCTTACCACATTTTTCAATCGGTTGAGGAAAATCAGACTGATATTGTCGCCTGTGAAGGGAAGGTAAGNNNNGAAGGTAAGCGAAGACCCTCCTAGGGACGTCGTATACTGCCAGTTCTTGCTTCGGTGTCCGACCAAACCCAATATATATCTTTACCATCTTTATGCACATCCATCTCCGTTTTACCTAAACCTGAACCTGGATTTCCACCTAACCTAACACTACTCATCCTATCGTTCTGAAGACTGTTCCGCCGTCTAAGCCACTAATCAGTTTCCAGTATCCGCATCTCAAAGCAGACTTTAAGTGACGGGATTTTCAACTGAAACGGTCGGAACAATTGATCATTCAGTGGCAGTGATTTTGGTATTTCATCGAGAAACTACGATCTTCGGAACCACGACTCAGTGAATATCGCTCTTGTTATGTTAACTGTCAGTTTCTGTCTTCGAGGTCACCTCTAAGGCGATATAGAACAGTTTTTTGTAACACTGATCCTAACTGTATGACCGGGAGAAACAGACATTAAAAATGGATTTCGTTATCCACACAAGTACAGTTCGTCAATAACCGAAAACCATGCTATTTGAGAGCCCATTCAGCCAATGGCCGAATCTGTCCCTGCATGTCCCTTGTAGATGGGTCTGAACTCTTCTGGGGAACGATTACACGACCAGTTAAATTCTCTCGAACCTGCAAAAAAGTGTATCGGTTGATCGAGAGCCATGCAGGGTTGGGACTTGGGCAAGAACAGTGCTCGTTCCTCTTCCGCCTAGATGATCGTTTGTTTATTAGTGGAGTTTCGCTCTCAAATATTCTACCTCTGACAGAGAAAACCACAAGAGACCATAATCACACACTTACTCTCTTCACGCAAATGAGCAATTATAAATACAGTTCATGTTGAGACCGAATTCCAATCGCGACGCTAATGCACGGTATTGTTAGGGCCCGTAAACCAACGCAAGAAATCGGAATACACAAGACTGCGTGCTGATCGGAACCAGGCTAACGATTTAATGAATGATCGTGAGAATACATCCATCGATTGAAACGATGGCTTAAAGCTAGATCAAGCTGGCTAACAGACAAAACGGCCGGCAAGGGTAATGAGTGTCTGTCATCAACAACCGTAACACCTGACTGGATGGTGAAAAAGAGACTGATGGACGAATGCGTATATCGCAGTTTCCAACGCTTTCGCACTACCGACTCACACCACTTTCTAACCAAGAAAGATCCATACCACGATGTCGCAACTAACTGCTAGGGCCGAATATTTCCAAAAGACTTACACCATAATAATCTGCTGTAATCCCGCCAAAATAATACACTCTTCACATTCTTTTCAAAACAATAGATGGAAGCAGAAAGGAATCTGGACCATTCATTTATTTTCTACTGCAACCACAACAAGGCATAAGTAAAAAATAGCAAAAGGAAGATGATCGACCAGATAGAGTCCATAAATACGCTAAAGGATGAATCTAATCCACATCGGGAAGGTCACATGAACCGTCTTTCCAGCCATAACGCCATCGTTCCAATACTTTTGAGCAATCGAATAGAGGCTTATGAATTTTCTTGTTCACCAAATTATGTTGCATGCACAGCCAACCGCTCAGAGCCTCACGACTTTGTAACTGGGGTGGGTTCAGTATCATATCTGAAGGAAAAGTGAAACCGAGAAATTACCTTTAAAAGTTGTTTCACAAAGAGATCGTTAACAGATCATGTGTCTCTCGGTGGTGCTGGGGTCGTCATGTACCACATTCACAACTCTTCATGGATATGAGACGCATGAGGCCGACTCATCCTGTCGCATAAAAATTATAAAAAACAACAGCAAGTCTTCGAAAGCCCCAGCTTCTCTAAGCACAACAGGCACCTTATTCAGACCGCATGAGATACTAAGAATGTATGCTTTTTGTAAAGCCACTGCAACACAATGGTTCTCAACGAATTGAAAACAGTTCACTTTCAGAGAGCTAGACGAAACAAGATGATGACCAGCTAACTCAGTTGAGTACTCGAGTGCAGCGAACCGCATAAAATACCGTGTATGGTGTTCAACTTACAACCTTCAAGATGGATCAGGCGTCCAAATTGAAGTCATAGATACATACATAACTATTTGAATGAATTCAGATTTTTACGAACAGATAAGCTTATTTGTGTATGGCAGATCTATTAAAATATTTTAAACCGGGTTAGGGTGAAGAACGTACGAAGCACGAAATCAGTGATTGGTTTCGGGGCGAACTTTTCACCAGAGCTTTAGATTTTTTGTTCAAAATGAGGTTTGCTGCCCCGTAGATTCGGATTTCTCGTCCTGAAACTTTGTTGGGTGGCGACAGTAGTAGTGGTCAAGCGATTTCAGCTTCGGTCACTGATGACCGTCGGGTTTCACGGTCCGAGATGTGAACCGCATTACCGTAACCCAATTTTGGAGGCAAACATCTTTACGGTCCAACGTGTCAAACCCGAACAACGTTCGGTGTATCGAAAAAACGATGCGCCATGTGATTTGTTTTATACAAATTGTAATTTTTTTGGGAAAACACAGCGATGTCGGTACAGGTGAAATAAGCCGACGTTTCGGTTACCGACGGTAACCTTTATCAAGGCGATTTTTACAATCGAATGAGTCAGGAACAGTTTTGCCAACTAGCCTCTCACGTACTGCGTGAAAAAAAATTGAGACCAACTAATGCCGCACAGCTCAACAAACTCGAACGAGATTCGGCGACCGCACTTCATGCCATTGCCGAAGGACATCGTATCGATTACGAAAACACGAAAATTCTTCATCGAGGTTTTCGAACGAACACCGAGCGCCTAAACGCCGAGGCTTTGGCAATTAGTGCCCATCCTGGGTGTGTAAACAGAAACGACGGGGCAGGGGTTTCGAGCATCTGGACAGCGTTACCATCACTTGCCAGCACTCGTCCCAACGCTGATTTGACCTCAGATAACCCCGTTCCCACAGACAAACATTGCACAAACGGATGTGCCCAACCTCCGATCCGGATCAGTGATGTACACACAAGCACGAACACAGAGGTATATGCAAACGCACGCACGCACGCACACACACACACACACACGCAGTACGTGAGAGGCTAGTTGGCAAAACTGTTCCTGACTCATTCGATCGTAAAAATTGCCTTGATAAAGGTTACCCGCGGTAACCGAAACGTCGGCTTATTTCACCTGTACCGACATCGCTGTTTTCCCCAAAAAAATTACAATTTGTATCTTTACGGTCGACTTGCGATAACCTAACCCGTTAAAAAAAGATCATGAAAATTATTGTGATTGCATGGGTAGCACGTGAAGGCGTTTTTATTTTTGTGGCCAGCTTCGTTTGTCGGATGCGCAGCTCCATGGATATCTCGAACAAACTGACGACGAATGGTGACCGAAGGCGAAACACAGTACTGATTTCAGTTGCGCAAAAACACTGGAGACCCAAACCCGTCACATCAGATTCGACAGCGCTAAGACGCCATTTTGACAGTTCAATGGAATCTTAGCATAGCTAGATCCTTCGGTTAACCAAAGCCCAACGCACAAGGTAGCTGGATGGTAAGTTAACACCATAATCCATCGGGGGAACCGGTGTCCAGTTTATCGCATCATACGCCCCTCCGACGGGGTTAAACGTTCAAGGTGCCTAATACACTTCGATACCCAATCGAGTCGGCGATAACCGCCACAACCAGAAACGACTGGATGCATGTGGTACGTACGCCTACTATTGAATGTTTTAGATTTAAGGTTCTTAGGCAACCCCCCTAGGTTAACTGCTAATCATTCACCGACTCAGTCATAGTTCCAGATTTTGTCTGTTCTCACTTTTGTGAGAAAACACCGCCACGGACAAGAACATAACTGTTATAAGGGGATCGAATTTGAGATCGGCGCCACTGACTGGAGGTAGTAAGGTTCTATCATGGATCTAACATTTCTGTGGCGTGTACATCCTCATGTAGGAGTTTATCACCTCAAGTAGAGAGTGTATCAGTTATGGAACAATGAACTTCATGAGGACGCGAAGACCAGTCACTAACTCATGACGAATTGATTCTGCAGTTTGTATCTTTTTGCCAAATTTAAATAACACTTGATCTACCATAGGGTTTTTGAGGAGGCAAGACAACTACCGTGAGCCGTTGGTTTATATTCGGTTTACTGAAGGATTCTGGGACAGAACATAGTAAGTTTGCTGCAGTTCATCATACGATTTTTCAACTTATTAGGTTTGTGGGGTCATTTATGAACTGTCCACCTAAAGTAGTATGTGGCCGTCGCCTTGGTAAGGTTTGAAAGGTGATACTTGATTTAATCACCTCCAAAAGACTCAGTATGGTTGAGAGTGAGTGTCTAGGGTTGCGATGGGTTACCCTTCCTTTGCACCTCACGAAATGCTCCCAAACGACCAAGCGTCTCAAATAGCCTCTGCTGAAGAAGCCCTACTCATTGCCTTCTCGTGGCGGAGATGTTTTCCCACCAAAGTGAGAGGACGAAAGATCAACATCCGGTTTGGTGGACCACTGGGAGTTCACATAGAGGAGATGGCCAAAAACCCTGATTCCAAACCAAATAAGAGGCGTACGAATTACACGCACACCTTCCCGGTTATGGAAGTGGTCACCGGCTCAATTGGGTACCTTAGCTGCTTGACCCCGTCCAAAGGGCGCATAATCCAATGAACTGAACACCGGCCCCCAATGGATTGCAGTTTTTGCACACCGCCCCGCTGCCTTGCTGGTCAGGCTTTGACTAGCCAAAGGCTTCGGTTGTGGATTCCTCAGGAAAATTGACCTGCCTTGTCCTGGGCAACCTGGTAGTATCCCGCCCACAGGCAAATCATGGAACGTTTTACTTTTTCATAAAGATTACTGTACCATGATTTGTTTGGCACATTGTCTGGATTCAGACGTGTGTGAAAATATAAAGTATAATTTGATTTAATCCCAGCAAATCAGCAGTCGCAGTGACAAACTTGTGAAGGACGAAAAAACTAACTTTTGCGCAAATCATGCGCACAGGGCACACAGGGGTAAAATAGTCCGAATCCTCTTAGAAAGCCCGCCATATCCTGCTTATCCCTTTCAGACGGTTCGACTGGGTAGTATGCTGCCATTGTGTGTAACAGAGTCCATGTAGCACGGCCCAGTTCGGGTTTATCCGGAGGACAATCTGGAAGAGAATAATAAGAGAGGAATGAACATTAAAATCTTTAAAGTGAATTAGTTTGTGAAATGGGCATATTTGAGTAAAGTAAAACTTGATTTATTTGGTAGGGCCATTTGTAGAGGTGATTGATGATGATGATCGCTGGATTCTAGTGGTGTTGTAGGGTTCAGTACTTTTCTTGCTTTTTATCAATGACCTACCGAGCAGTTTCAACTATTAAGTTCTCTTATATGCGGATGAAATGGAGTAATCTAGTCGGAGCATGATATACGTTCTATGTAAGGGAATCTCGATAGTTTTACGAAGTGAAGCCACACATTGCCACTTGATGTCTATAGACCGGTCCTTCAATCCGAGTCTAACACCTTGTGGACAGTCTTTTACAGGTATTGGTGTGTGAGCGGGATCTCGCTGTCACTACAAACCAGAAAGTATACGAAAAAAGACTGGTTTCTGGTTGGAGAAAAATTAGAGCAATTGACCGCCCCTTTCAAAAATCATACGACGTTTTCAGGACGCTGTATACTTGCCACGTCGGACCACGTTTTAAGTACATTTATTTAAGGTGTGGCTGGTCGTAGCTAACACGTCTCTTCCTCATTAGTTTGGAATCAGAGATTTTAGCTAACTGTCATGAGTGAATTACCAATGGTTCACCGAACCAGGATTTTGACTTTNACACCTCTGCCACGGAAAGGCAGTGAGTACGACTTCTTCATTCGCTGGTCACGCCCGGCGGTCTGCGATAAGATCAGCGCAGATTGTGATCCGGCTTGACTTACACTGGCGATTGCCGTAGACGCAGCGGAGACCAAGGTTTTCCGTACCCTTGCGTACCGTATCCAGCCAGGTTTTCAGCTGGCCAACGTATCGACAACGCCAGTTCTCAGACATACGGAGTATGTAGCTAAACCATTGCAGTCGCCACCGCGTCTGCAGTCGTATAGTATTAAAATACCGGTTTCTGGCCGCTTCGTTTGGGAGCTCATCTCTCCACCGTATTCCCAGAATGATTCTTAGCTACCCGTGGTCGAAGACTTCTAATGATGGACAATCTTCGAATTAAAGTGGCCAGATTTCACAGCCGTTTAGTATGACAAGGTAGACTGCTGTGGAGAAAACCAGCACTTTTGCCTTTAGGATGGTTTCATTTCTATGCTAAACAGAATTCTTCAGCTGCAGAAAGATCTTTCTTGGAGCATCGACGTGCACCTGTACCTAGTCTCTAGCTTGACGGTTTGGGAGTATGGTATTTAAAGCTTTCGACAGATTCGATCGGGTCGCCGTTTAGCAGTAAAGCACTTTTCTGATGAATTTAGACAAATGCAAACGTTTTTTTATGTGTTCATTTCTAGGCCGACCTCGGAGGCCTGTTGACTGATGCGGTCAACGATTACTGGGAGGTTAAACATGTCCTTATCAGAGGCGACAATATCATTAGCGAATTCTAACTCGGTGAACCATAAGTTCGGAGAGATTTGAAGTCCCTGGTATCCTCCCATCAAACGACCCATTCTCTGGTCAACGGAAAAGTTCAACAGCACTGGGAATAATGGGCATCCCTGTTGCATTCCAGATCTTAACTCGAACGTGCATGACTCCTCGCTGTGGATGAGTGTTTGGGCACTAGCGTTATAATTCCACAAGACGGTGCTCGATCGAGGGAGGTTGTTTATTGTAGATTACAGTTGGGACATCACTAATTTGGCGTACATAACACAGAAATCTTATCTGAAACATACCATCTCAGTTCCTGGCAGCATAACAGGTAATGAAAGTAGCACTCGGTATTCTTTGAGACTCAGCCATTTGCCCTCGGTGGTCTTGTTAATTTTTGATCGTTGAAAGAAATCACCAACTGTTTTGCACACTACTCACAAATGTGAATAGTACCTCACGATACTAGTAGTGGAATAGCACGATCTCATAAGATTGACACTATCGGCCAGAACTGTTCTAAAGGGATTCGTGATTTACGGAATCTAATGCCCCACGAAAATTAATAAAGCAGGCTGCTATGGGTTGTTGAAACTTGTGATGATATTCAAAGAGTCGACGTGAAATGAATATTTAGTCAACGCAGCCCACATGGGGAGGAATCACTTATGGTTAAGACGGGTGCGCGCGTGTCTCGTTGCAGCGAAGCGGTCGAGCAAGTTGCTGAAAAACCGCGGGGGCCACTTCAAGCAAACTGTTGTCCCATGGTTTTCGCAAGCTGTTTTTTCATCCTTCTACGGAAAGGTAGTAAAATCCATGTGGTCCAGTAAGTTGGGCAAATTTCAGTTACCCAAATTGCATACTTACACTACGGGGAGGGTATTAAATGACTGGAGAACACTGCGTATATTTCTGCGGTTAGCCCGTCCATGCGGCTTGAGATGATTGATGATATATGAGACTTCTACTGATTGCGGAGCGTAGCTAGCTTCGTATAGTGATGATGGTGGAGGACGCATACGGAGATTGGACTTAGGGGTGACTGAGAAGAAGACTGAAGTGTTCCACCGGTCCAGTCACTTTTCCTACCGCAACAGAAATGACCTCGCCGGGGGCGCTGCGCAACACAGATGAGTTAACTTGTTTCTTGCCCGGTGCTGATCGAATAGGTCGGAAGAGGGTCACCGTGTTGCCCAGGTTGGCTACCGTCTCCACTTTTGTCGCCATTTCACTCCAGTAGTTGCATCTATCGTTGGTGTTGGTGAGTTCTCCAAGAACTCACTGACACCAAGATCCGCACCTCGAGCTATAATCATTCCACATCATTTGCATCTGTCGTTTCTGGCCGATCGTGTTACCTTTCGGCTGAGATCGCGAT